CCCAAAAAGAAAATATAATTGCTGGAATAAAGAGAAAATTGACATAGTAATCAAATTGTTGTCCCAGACGGAAATGGAAAGAATGAAAATAAAGAACATTGCCAAACATATTGATACGTCAATAGCCTCGGTTAACAAATTAAGGCAAGAAACTTTTCCAGAGTTTATAGGGTGGCCAATTATATATTATTATAATATATACAAAATAAAATATTATTTGGTTGATAATTTTTATATTTCCTTCTTCTGAGCACCTTTCTATAGAAAAAAAAGAATGGCATTTACATTTATCTGTAATATAAGTTAATTACTTTAAAGGTGGGTGGTGGCTGATTTTAAGTTTAAATTCTTTATGTAAGTCTTTATGATAAATGTTGAGAAGGTTCATAGAATCTGAAATAAAGATCATTAAATACATAGTATTATTTTTTGTTGATGATTTATACAATACAGTATTACCACTTATACTTCCAAATAATTAAATTTCCAATTACTTACGATATTCTAGAAATATTTCATAGGTAAATTCTTATGTTACTTTTTTAAATAAAAAATATTGTAAAAATTTGAAAAAATATTCACTTGAACTATTTTTTTTTCTTAATTCCAAAATGAGGTATTTATGTTTTTTAAAAACTTCATAATTAATAATTATACCACTTAATAGTTTTTGTTTTTATTATATCACCAAATAAAACACATGCAAGTGCAACCCTGTATAATAAACATCTTGTTGGTATAAAGTGTATCGCTATATTATATTAAATTGTTATAATGTTCACAATTCTGATAAAAGCTTTAAAAAAATATATTAAAAATTCTAGACTAAATTTAAATCACGATCTTCCCCATTTTCAATAATTCATTCGTTCTCTGGCCCGACCCGAACGGGCATGGGGTCGGGCTTGGGCCTAATTCTATTTAAAAGAGTCGGGTTTTACCCGGGCCTAATATTTTCAAAAAAAAAATCGGGCGGGTCTGTATCAATTTTATATTGAATTTTTTATGTAAAATAAAAATATTTGATTTTATATATTGAAATAAGTAATTATAAAAATGACTTTGTATATTTCATTAATTCGGGCCGGGCCGGGTCGGCAAAACTTTTTCAAAAACATTTCGGTTCGGGCCGAGACGGCAAAACTTTTTAAAAAAATTTCAGGCCAGGCCGGGCTTGAAAAATTAGGCCCGATGCAGATCACTATCAAGTATATTATATTTCGTATAACGACTCAAGTTGGAAATCTAAAGTTAAAAATAAAAAAATGTTTTATAAATAATAACTAATTTAAAATCTACATCCTTTAGTATACTCAAGTTCATAGAACTATTCGTACACTAGTCGACGCTTCAAGTTCATAAAACTATTCGTCCTCTAGTCGACGCCTCAAGTTCATAAAACTATTCGTCCTCTAGTCGACGACTCAAGTTTATAGAACTATTCGTCCTCTAGTAAACTAAGTTCATAAAACTATTCGTCCTCTAGTCGACTAAGTTGATAAAACTATTCGTCCTCTAGTCGACTCAAGTTGATAGACTTGAGTTCACAACTCGAGTTAGTTTTGGGTCGATTTTTTCGACCCTAAACTTGACTCCAGTTTTCGGCTAAGTCGACTAGACTTAGTCGATTAACAATACTAGTCTAGAGTAAAAAAATGTAAAATACAAAAAATATCTTAATTAATAATAATAAATAATAATCGTCCTCTAATCGACTCACTAGAGGACTAATATTTTATGAACTTGAGTTTACGACTTAAGTCGACTTGACTTCATAACTCGAGTTCACGACTTGAGTTTGAGTTAGTCGGCATATTCGACTCGAGACTCTGAGCCAGAGTCGGGTGAACTCGATTTTAAGGTTTGTGTAAACCTAAATTAGGATTCTATTGTGAAAATTCATGAAACGAGCTAAAAAATTTATTGACTCGATATCACATTTATCAAAATATAACAAAATAATGATTTTTAGATTTTAATATAATAATATTAGATTAAATGGTATTAAATTATAAGATTTTAAATAAAATATTCTCAAAATTTTGTCAATAATGTATCCTCGTTTATCTTTAAAGACATTTTTAGCTCCACTAAAAAGTTTTTCTACTGGGATGCTTGAATGGATTGTGTTTTATTTTATGAATAACAATTTTATATCAGGATATTCTTTAAAAATACTAAAATCTTGATATTCATTTTTGAAAAAATTATTAAATTTGTTGAGTATCAAAATTTTAATCATTATTAACAATCAGATCTGCTGCTGTGGGGTACTGAAAAAAAATCGGATATTAAATTATTTGTTTTTTTCACAGGTTATTTGTTTGCAATCAGTTAAAGACCTTGATGATTCATCAACTAATCTTTGTATTAATTGTTTTTTTATTAAAATTTTTATCCATTTGGAACCATGTTCAATCAAGTTTAAAAAAAGGATGGAGCATAGTTGTTAGAATATTTTCATCTTCAAAGATTGTCTCAATAAACATAGAATTATTAAATATTGATAATTGATTATTATTAATTTACCTATCTTCGATCCCTTTAAGTAAAAACATCTAGGAGTGTTAAACAAAATCTGTTCATTTGTTAAGTTCTTCAATTTGATAATCAGCTGTGAAATGGTTGCACAGTAATAAACTGTCTACATATATTTATCTCCCTGAAAAATATCAAGAGAACTAGCTACTGGCTTCATTCACTAATTTAAAATATTGCTATATATATAAATTTTATTTTTAACTCACTAAACAATCAAAGCATTATATGTGGAGGTCCATCTGGTTATATTAGGACATACATAATAACGGCTAATATAATTTTTAATAATTCAGATGAAATTGGAAATTTATTTTGTTTATTCCATATATTTTGATATTTAGCTAATGTTGTGCAATATACCTAATGAATAAAATATTAAATATTTAAAATTATTGTTTTACCCTCTGATATTGTTTACACTGCATGGCCTTTGGCATCTACAGTGGCAATAAGATTCAATATGTGGACACAACATTGATGATTAAAGTTCCTTGTTTTTCAAAATCCTGAGCAGTAGTATAATTAAAAATAAAGAAATCATAAAAGGTCTAATAGAACCATCGCTAAAATGCACAATAACAGATTGTTGGAGTGCCTATTGCTGATATAGCTAACATTTAAATATGTATATTAATTAAGAACAAATTAATTGAGCAGTTGTTGATATTTAGTTCATACATAGGAGTCACTGCACACTATATAGATCCAACAAGTTTGGAAAGAAAAAATGTAGAGTTGGCTTGTAAAAGAATGACTGGTAGTCATACATATGATATAATAGCAAAGAATTAACAAATATAGAAAAGGATTATTGCATTCAAAATAAAATCTCAAAGATCATTACTGATAATGCCAAAAATTTTCTCAGAGCATTTAGGTTTATTTTATTATAAATATAAACATAATATATGATTACTTATTTATCATAGAGTTTTTAAGCCAATTGAAAATACTAGTGAATCCATATGATCTGGAAAATGAAGAAGCAATTGTACCAATATCAGTATCAAATATACCTAATCATCAATGTTGTGCCAGTCACACATTGAATCTTGTTGCAACTGTGGATGCCAATAGTGCCATGCAGTGTAAACAATATCAGAGGGTAAAACTCTAATTTTAATTATAATATTTAAAATTTTATTCATTAGATATATTACACAACATTAGTTAAATGTCAAAATATATGAAATAACCAAAATAAATCTCCTATTTCATGTGAGATTATAAAAAAATATTGGCCGTTATTTTATATGTCCTAATATAACCCAATTAAACTTCATATAATGCTTTTCAATTAATGTCAGAAATTATTAAAGCAAAATCTGACAAAGGACAAGATATGTGATAGAATAAAACAATAATGAATGTGATTTTATTCACAGATATTGTTTAGTAAGTTATAAATAAAATATATATATATAGCATTATTTAAAATTAGTGAATGAAGCCAGTAGCTAGTTATCTTGATATTTTGCAGGGAGATAAATATATGTACACAGTTTATTAATGTGCAACCATTTCACGACTGTTTATCAAATTGAAGAACTTAAAACAAATAAACATGAGATTTTGCTTAACACTCCTAGATGCCTTGCTTAAAGAGATTGAAGAAAGGGAAATTAATAATAATAGATTAATCAATATTTAATAATTTTATATTTGTTGGGTCAATATTTCAGGATGAAAATATTATAGCAACTATGCTCCATCCTTTTTTAAACTAGATTGGACATGGTTACAAATGGGTAAAAATTTTAATAAAAATTTCTACAAAGATTGATTAATGAATTATCAAGGTCTTCAACTGATTGCAAACAATTAACCTGTGAAAAAAATATATTTAATATCCGATTTTCTTCAACCACCACAGCAATCTTGATCTTCAACAAATTTTAAATAATTTTTTTTAAATGAATTTCGAGATTCTAGTATTTTTAAAGAATATCCTGATATAAAATTGTTATTCATATAATATAATACCACAATCCCTTTCACCCCTATAGAAAAACTTTTACTGTAGCCTAAATGTCTTTAAACGAGGATGCCTTAATGACCAAAATTTTTAATTGTACAAAAAAAACATTTTCCCCTTGTTTCTTTAGAATTTATAAATATATCAATTCATTAAAATTGAGTATAATATTTTAAAATTTAAGCCCATCTCGGTTCTATTTTTTTTAAAAAAATTCGAACCGAGCTAGGATTTAGAGATTTCTAATTCAATTTGATTCCTATTCTCGCTAATTTTCTCAAATATGTCTAGAGAAACCTCTGAAAAGATTGATGACACTTCATCTAACTCATTTATAAGGTTGGTTTAGTAGCATTTAGAATTGCTGTCTTCCTGGAGATTTTTATTAATATTCATGAGATCTAAATATAAAAAAATTATTATCTAAATATTTATTAAAAACCTAAAAGCTAATTGTTAAATATATGAAATTTTATGCATTAAGATTAGTGGAAATGGGTCCTCGAATTAGTTTAAAACTAATAAAAATTGAAGATGGATTATGTCAGGGAAAGGTAATTTATCATCATTACATCAAGAAGTCTCCAGACGAATTGTCGAGATTAGAAGAAATTCATAGGAAAAAGCGGTATAACAATAAATTTTCTTAATTTATTATTCAGTTAATATTGTAAATGAACTCATATCGCTACTTGTTCTATTCACCCAAAATCGATCTAATATCATATCTTGGTTTAGGGTGAATACTGGTCTACAGTTGGTATGATTTAATTAAACTAATTTAAATCGTAAATTAAAATCAATAATAAAATTACTTTATTATAATCTTATTTTTGCTTATAAGTATTTGGCTAAATTTTATTTGAAATTTCTAAAGAATTAATCCTGAAATATTTCACGGCTTTAATGCAATAATAAATGTATAACTTTTTCCAGGAAAAATATAAAAAACTATCTAAATATATAAAAAGCGTGTTTTAATTTTTTGAAAATTATAATCTTTGCCAACCCTAACTAAATCGATAAAATATTTGAAGATTGGTACAGCTTGAATATTAGATCACTTTATTATATATTTTTTTGTTTATTCTCTCGATTTGAGCCGATTTTTAAAAACGGCTAACTCAATATTTTATCTGAAAAAATATTAAGGAAGCCTCAAGATTTTGCCCATGGGCATCTATTCGCGAAATCTCGTGGCTCAGACAATATTTCTCTAGTTAAAATATTGAAGGCCTTTTTAAAAAATAGGCTCAAATCGAACCGTTTAACAACACTATCCTTATATAAAATAATTTCATTTAATTTTGGATGCAGGAAATTGAAATTGCTGAAAACGAACAATAAACTAAAACTCAAAAGAAAAATTGGTAGTAAAAAAAATTCGTCCTTTAACTCAGCCAAAAAACGCAAGAAAGAAATCGGAATACCTTAATATATTTTTTTATTAATTATAAATAGTTTATTGATATCATTATAATCCACGTGTAACGAAATTTGTAAATAAATCAACTATCATCAACTGTAGTCGTTTTTTTTAAAGTTTGATTAATGAAGTTTGAGTATTGTAGCATGTTGAATCTCTTGAACTTGAAAAAATTGTCAACAAACGACAGCCCGCATGTAGTGCATAACACTTCGACTAGAATAGAAATGTCAGGATTTTCTAGGTCGGCTTTATAATTGGGATTTTGTCGGTGAATCAACTTCGTAATTTCTCTGATTATGTCATCGCGATTTAAGCTATTGTTATTACGAATCTTAGGAAGTTAAACAAAAAAAATATTAATTTTTTAATGTAAGTTTTGATGGTTAATTGAATGAAAAGATAATATTTGAAGGGTCACCTAGTGTAAAATGTTATCAACAAATTCGACCTAGGGGGTTATAAATGAAGAGAGAAATTTAATGTAAAAATTGCTATCAGTGCTTAAGAAAAAATTAAAAAATATTTTTTGGCCCAAAATTTTTAAGGATCACAAAATTTAAGAATTGTTTCAAATTTTTAAACAAATTTACGATTTCAATCATATGCAACAAAAAAGAATAAATTTAGGCAAAATTTTAATCAACATTTCTGTTAGAGCATTTTCAAAAATATTTATTCCCTGATGTCACTTTAGAATTTTTTTTTTACTACACATATTATTGAAGGCCTTTTAAAAAATAAGAATCAGGATTGATGACAAAATTATTTTATTTTGATCAAAAAATTACCTTTATGTTGATAAGGAAAGCATTGTTGGGTTTTAATTCCTCTGGAAAGTAGGTTGGGATGTAATGTTCCACAGCTATAGCTATATCCTTCAAATAAGCTTTACAAGTGATTTCAACTGGTATAATTCTTTGTATGTATCTTGATTTAATGTTTTGATTTTGTCGAATATCATCAAATATGTCATTTATTAATGTATATGGTTCTGGTAACTATTTTTTAAAAAAATTTAAGAATATTTTGATTAAAATACTTGTATACTAATGAAAATACAATTTTTGCATTTCGTCTTTACATTTTGGAATCTTCTCTCTCTTTTGTTAGTCTCTTTAAGTGTATGAATTTCGTTATCGAATTCCTTTTCTATATCTAAGGGTTCATTCAGATTTTTGATATCCATTTTAGTGCACTAAATATGCAAATACATTTATAAGATATAATAGTTACTGGTTTATTAATTAATTTGATGTATGTATTGTTTTTCATGTTGTTCTAATATTATATTTGGCAGATCAATGTATATACAAGGATCAGAAAACTGCAAGATTGGTCTAGATACATTGGCCAGACCATATTTTAATTTTTTTAAATATACCGGGATGGGCCTAAAATAAATTTTTAAAATACCTGGGCTATGCTAATATTTTAAATCACCATCATTAGCTATATCAATACAATATTTTTTTAAAAAATTTGGGCTGGGCCTTAAAATCCAGGATGAGTCAAAATAATTTTAAAATAAAATCAAGGCCAGGCCCAGCAAATGGTACCTATGCAGGTCTCTAATAAAAATATTGGGAAAAACTTTTTTTATCTTTTTATAAAGCTATAAAAAATTATGAAAAAGATTTTTGACTATAAAAATTTTAATTTTTAAGACAATAAAGAAAAAAATTATAATTTAATAGTCCTAAATATTTTGGTATGAGGGGGAGGTGAACTTAGCCCCTTTTCATAATAAGCAATCAAAAGGCCCCTGTAGCTCTCCTCATACACTCACGATCCTTTTTCTTTAGATTTTAAAAGATATCTTACTAAAATACTAAATCTATAAATAAAATAGTAAATATACATATTATCTAATTATATAGATATAGAAAAAAATTAATATATAAAATGGTTATATATTAGCCAAAGAGTAGGGATAGATATAAGAATTGGCATTAGAAAAAAATAGATATTAAAAATGTCTTCCAAAAACCTTTAAAAATAAAATGCCAGGACTGGCCTGACTTTTTATAAAATAAAATAATTTGCACTTCCAAAATTAGGATTTTTTTATTGGGCCTAGACAGGCTAGACAAACATTAACATGCCAGGCTTGTCCACTTGAGTAATAATATCTAAACAGTAGTTTTGCAAGGCTTTGCAGATCTTGAAATTGTAGTAAAATTTGTAATTGCCCATTAAAACTTTCCAGTATTAAAATCTAGCCCAAAAATATATTTTATATAAGTCCAGCTTCACCACAATAATTTTTTATAAAGAAATGGCATAAGTTTGCCTAATTACAATTTAAAACTTTGTCCCATAAAAATATCTTGAACAATGTATCATTCAAAAGCATTTTTCCTGGCCAAAACTTTATCAAGCTATAGTTGGTTTTCTTAAATTTAGCAATTACCATATTAAATTTGTAAAAATAATTTCATAATAACTACATTTGAATAATTACCATTTCTTCACCATATAGTTTGTTGGCATGTTCATTCAATAAACTATAAGCATCTCTTATGCATTCCTTTTTTCTATTATTGTCAAAGGTAATAATAAAACCTTTCATATCTATGCTTAACGTTAATTGGCTCATACTTTGATATATATGGAAAAGGATATTATAAATTAAATAATTTTCAATTGTGATTTATCCAAAATGTGGAATGATTAAAAAATATTTCTAGACACAAAAATATGATACCGAATAAATTAGAATACCCATCAATAAATGTCATCTTAGTATTATCCATTTATATAAATTTTAATTGATTATATATTTTATTTGGGGTTGAATAAAATAAATTTATTAATAACTAGTCTCAAATTTAACTTCAATTTGTGACATCAAACCACTCTCCTGCAATAAAGGAGGCTAGGGTTACGATAACCTATAACCTTATCAATTAGTGGTTTCATCTCGTCCAGATTGGCAAGCTCCCAAATAATAACTGATCACCTGTCCTTGCCAGATGCCCTCCTTAACGAAGTCTATATCATATGGAAAGCCTCAATGGGGGATGAATACCACCAGCCTCCCATAAACAAAAGAATTGAGATAATCCGATGATTGCAAGGTCCGTTGTTTACCTCTTTTCAGCCCTGCTACCTGAAGATCATGCCTTCTTAGCTTCCCTCAACCAAGGTTCTGGATATGAATACTTGGACGCCATCCCCTTTAATCTTGACTTCAAATTTTCAAATAAAGAATTCAGTCTTAGCCATTCGCTTAAATGTGATAGCCTCAGTTTCATATAAGTGCCCCAAGTGCAAGAAGCCAGTAAGTCAAATTGGTCGTCGTTGCCATACATCTTTAGCAGTGTACGCTCAATCCGAAATAACAGATGTAATGATCTCATAAAACGAGCTTTACAGTCCGCAAGCTTTCCTGCCACTTTAAAACCCCCAGGTCTCTTTACAGATGGGAGGTGACCTTGGGAGAAAGGCCGATTTCTATCGTGAGATTTCTCCTGCGTTGAGTCCGTCTCACCCTCCAAAATCAATAAGTACATTTTAAAATACAAATACACAGAATTTTAAAACGAATAAATATGTGGATATTCCTGGTGAGTATAAATTTGTATCAGACAACCTTAACATCCTTTGTAAGTCAGGGTATTAACCTAATTAAAAAGTTGGCAGAGCCTTCAGAACTAAATCAGGAGAGCCAAAAGAAGGCGTCTATTTACATCAATGCATAGGAATTCATATTATAAAATCTAATTTCACATGCTTCATGGGTTCATTCCTCGAGGAGCCAGATTAATCTAGATTTCCTTCCCTTAATTATTTAGAATTTCCCCAAACATTCTTTCTCATATAATCCATTAATTATAAATGTAATAAATATATTTAATTTACACGAATATATAAATAGTTTTACAAATAGTTTGTAGTGATAATATTAATTATATTTTATGTGAGAGAAATATGCAAATAATTTTCTAGTTAGAAATATCTTATGACATATATCATTTAAATCAATCATAGAAATATTTCGATATATTCAAGGTAATCACCTTTAATATTTTAATTTTCTCGATGCAAAACTTCTCATTAGAAATTGAATGTCTATTAAAGAAAGTTTATAATATCCTTAATTATATTATATAATTTTTATATTATTAGCTCGTAAAAAACCAAATGTCAATTGCAACCATAATAGGTTAGATGATGTGGCAAAATCTAGAAGGTTAAACAAGAAGTTAGAACTTTTGGAAAATGACAATTTCCAAGAAGATCCACATGCTAATGTAATCATAAATAAAAAAGCTCCTAGATTTGATGAAACTAGCTCTAAAAGTTAATTAATACATATGTATAGATATAACATATTTAGGCAAGAAAAAGCGCAAAACAAAAAATGACTGGAGGAGAGAAAAATATAAAAAAAGCTTAGCAGTATTATTGGAAGAAGTTTAAAATAAAAATTCTGCCTATGCATTTTATCAATTTTGTAAATAGCAAGTTGATCCTAGCAAAAATCCAAATTATTATTCAATTAAAGCAAAACCCCCTAAACTTCCACCAAGACATTTTTGTTCAGTGTGTGGAAATTTTTCAAATTATACATGTATACAATGTGAATTAAGATACTGCTCAATTAAATGCCAGCATGTTCATAAAGATACTAGGTATCAATATTTTATATAAAATGATAATTGTTTTATTAATAGATGCTTAAAATGGATAGCTTAATTTGGAATGCTTTAATCAATTTTGTTATTTTTTTTTCTTCATAAAATAATATATTTGTAATAATATTCATGTCATTTATATAGAAATTATTTGTTTCTTGATAAATATTATAAATAAAATACATTAAACTTTTATCAAACGAGTTATTTCATGTCAAATCAATCAAAAACGTTTATTTTTATAGGACCCCTTAGGATTTAGGTAATAATATTTTTTCTGCCTTAGAAAGTAATGTATATACTAACTAATGTAACGTATAACTAGACCTGGGCACTGATTAAAACATTGGTGATGGCATTTTATTCTAAAACTGTCTAATGGTAATATGCCAATTTTCATGCCAATGTTTATATCAGTATCAGTAAGTGGAAATGCCAAAATTTCTTAACTGGAGATTTTTTCTAGTATCTAATTTTTTGCATGAAGATGAAAAGTAATAACTTATTTAAAACAATTTTTGTCAAATAAAATATATATGAAATCTTACAATTATATGGTTAGGGTTACCAAGTATCAAGATTACTATTAGTCATGATAAATTGTTCCATTTGAGTCGGTTTTTAAAGATGGAACTTAATAGTTTAACCGTATATATATTGCCAATATATGTCCAAATCTTTATGCTACTTATGAGCAAAATCTTCAGGCTTGCATAATTTTTATGAGTATAAAATATTGAATCAACCATTTTTAAAAATTAGCTCAATTGGAGTGATTTTGCATCACTGGTTACTACTATAGAATTATTTAATTTTTTTAATTAATAAAACCATATAAAATAGGAAAGTAACCATAACAAGACCTGTGCACTGATTAAAATATTCATAATGGCATTTTGTTTTACAACTATTGTCTATAAGGCACTGATTTTCAAGCCTATGTTTATATTATAGACATATTCAGGAATTTTCTAAAGATAGGTATAAGTTGTTTTTTCTCTATAAATTTTATTGGTATTTTTATATATATTATTTTTGGTTTTCTATTTTTTTTATAAAAATGTTTATAATTATGGCCATAATTTTTATATCTGAAATATAAGGTTAAAACAAATGATATCTTTATTTCAAATTCTTATATTTATATATATACTATCTTATAATTATTAGATTTAACTTCTATAAGTATTTAATTGACCTTTTAATTATAAATACGTTATGTTATTCAAATAATGTTTAATATTATAATCTTTGAAAATATAGCAATTATCATATGTAGATTCCCATAACTATACCTGTGCACTGATTAAACATTGGTGGTGACGTTTTGCTTATTTATATTGGTACCATGCCGATTTTCACAATGTTTATATCAGTATTAGCAAGGTGGCACACCAAAATTTCTTAACTGGCAATTTTTTTCATGAAAACTAAAAGTAATAACTTATTTAAAATAAAGTGACTAAGTATTACGGTTACTTACTACTGGGGTAGCAGTTAATTTTATTAATTAATGAAATCGAATAAAATATAAAGTTATAAATAAAAAGAATGTCTGTGAGTAAAATCTTCGAGCACTGTATTATAAAAGTTATTGCTGGATTTTAATTTTTAAATTAAAATTAATGATAATAATTAGTTAATTAATTTTGAATACTTGTTTCTTAAGTTTATTTTAAATATGGTCTCCACTAATTTGCATAATTTAAATAAATCATAAAAACGTTTATAAATTATGATATATTTATATACCACTATTATTTATATCCTTTTGAAATTTATTTTCTTGAAACACTACCTCTATTTAGTTACAAGGTTGTCTAAATTAAAAAATTGTGAATAAGTTTAATTTAAATTAGCAAGTATACCAAAAATATTTTTGTTAATTAGGATAAAATGCTTAGATTCTCTACAGTAAGCCACTCATATTAGCGTATTTACTGATCCTTTTTACAACTTTTCACCATTTTTCCACTCAAAACTTTGGCCTGGCCATTGTTTCGACTTTTCAGAATATATATTTTGATACCGTTATGTTCATGTGAACTATTGGTTATGCGCCGAAGGAATTTAACAACACAAATAATTCTAATAACTCATAACCCTAAAATATCACAAAAGGTCAAATAATTTTATTTGGAAATAAAGTATGTAAATAATATAATTGATAAAAAGACACGGTGTCAGGCCAAGATAAAAACTATTAAATTTTATTTAAGATAAAAAAGAAGAGATTAATTTTACATTATATTTCACGTCTACAACATTCTTCTTTCTGAGAAATCCTATATTTATTTATTGCGATCGTCGATTTCTTATAGCAAATAAATTTCGCCGTGGTTTGTTTTCGCGAATTAGTCGTCGGGTTTATTTGTTGTTTATCGATCATGTTTCTATGGCAATAAGTGGCATCAATATCTTTTGGTACTGTCATCGGCTTGCTTATCCGTATCGAAACCATTCACGTGTTGATTTGAGACATCATAGCATGATCGTGGTATTTATTAAGTTATCACAATTTGAGAATAGTTTGTTAATATCATCAAGTTTTTATTATTTAATTTCAATATTTATAAATATTTCTATTTATTCTAAAAAAAATTAAACATCTTATATTTTATTTTAAATATATCTCCAAACGAATATCATTGAAATCTATATTTTAAATTAATTACTTTAAATTTTCCTTAACTTTCCCCTCCTTGAAAATCCTGAACCGGAGGTAGAACAGTTAAATTTAATCAAAATTATGAACTTGAAATTGTCTTTTAGTCTTCTATTTTATCATATTTTGGCATAATTATTATCATATGAAGCACTATATTATTATATTATCTTATTGACATATTGAATTCATCACTTTAATCTAGTTATATAAGAATCGTTTTTCGTCAGGGGTTGGTTTGAATTTTCGTAGTCATCGTTAGCTTTTGTAAAATATCATCCAATAAATTTTTTATTTTTGAAGTTTTCATCTATTACTTGCTAAGTGTCCATACGTTTTAATTAAAGTTTATATTTAATTTTAATTTAAGAATTTTTGATTTCCCTGGTAAAAAATATCTGAAATTTTTTTTTAAAAATATTTACTAAGAACTTTTCCGCTGCCACCATGATAAATAGACACTGTGGCAGGCCAAGATAAAAACTATTAAATTTTATTTAAATATTAATTTTACATTATATTACACGTCTACAACAATAATGATCATATATTGCCTCATAATCGGCCTTTTATCTTCTACAATAAAATAAATAATTCTCTAAAATAAAATAGGACTCATCCTGAGTCTTAAAAATTATACCATTCAAAGTCAAATGCTTGCGCCATGCTTACACGGTCAAATTAGTACGCATAAAAAAAAACTATAATAAAGTTAAAAAATATATGCAACAAAATAAAGAAAAACAACACCAAGTATAACTGTTGTAGTATTATGTGTATTATTATGTTAGTAAATTATTATTACAATAATGTCAAGGATATATTGTATTTTTATATGAAAAAGAGATAATGTCAAGGATGTAATTTATTTTTATATGAAAAAAGAGGAAAACTAGATCATTTATTTTTGAATATATTGATTTTTAGTTAATTTTTTTCGCGTAAAAAGATTGATTTTTTTTTTCATTGCGAATTTTAATAATAATTTTTCTTATAAAATAATTGTGTTTTATCTTTTCAAGAAATAAAAAAATAAGAGTAAAGAAATCTACAAGTGTTTTATCTTTTCAAGAAATAAGAGTAAAGAAATCTACAAAAATAACATTAACAATTATTGGAAATATCAGTTTCGTCTCTATGTTTCTCTTTAAAGACTTGTTCTAACCGCTGCTTCACATCTTTTTCTGCTCAAATGAGGAATATAGTTTGATGATATTTAAATGAATTTCTTTTTATGGCTCGATTATTCAAGGTAATTTCTATATAATTTTGTAAAGTTTATATGTTCTTAATATTTCTTAAGCTAAAGGATACTTAATAACTTTTTTAACAATACAATAAATTAGACATTTACAAATTTCAAAGAATTATTGTTTTTGAAAAATAAGTGGAGATTTTTAAAAAAATATATCTTTTATTTATTAAAACAACACAATTTCTTTCGCTTATTTCTTTAAATTTATGCTTAAAACATCAAAAAATTTAATTAAAAAACTTTAAAGTCATTTTTATTAGAATAAATATATGGCCAAAAATGTTTGTATAATTTTCAAAACTTTATCCTTAAAGTTTTAAAACAGGTTTCGGGTAAGAGATTGGGATTTACCCTGATTGGCAACTCCTTAGTATTTCTTAAATCGAGAAGTCAACCTATGGACTTTCTTTTCAACTTTTTCGGGAAACGGTTATGTTCTTCAAGCTATCCCTTCAAGTAATCTTGATGGGATGCTATCGGACTCAGAATTAATTAAGAAATGGTTTCATGTTTACTTTGCTAGACTTCTATTGACTCGAAAGGTCATTACTCCTTACATTGCAAACGATGCAGAGGTAGATTACATAATTGATCGCATTATATCTCGTGCCTTTAAATCTGCTCAAATTCCTTCAACCCTTGAGTTGGCTGACCTTTGTAACGCAGATGGTTAAACGTCCTGATATTTTATCCAAGATTCAATGGAAGAGTGGTAAGTTCTTAACCTGTGATTTTTCTTGTATATACCGTGCCCTCAAACTTAAACTATAATATTGCTATTGTTGATGCAGAACTTCTGTTCTACCTCCCAACCATTTATTCATTCCAATAATTGCTAATCGCTAACTTCTTTTGGCACTCACGCCATCAAATATCTAGGGCATCACATCGAAGACCGAAAATACAATTGAAAGCTTTTATTATAGACAAAGATTAGCAATTAGTATAATTCTATACAAATTCATAAGTTTCCATTCTCTGTTTATGGATAAAAATTCATTTAATGTTAATCTCAATCTTACTATAAACTATATTATTTTTTTTATTTATTGCAACAATTTAACACTATAGCATATTTATTTCTTATATGTAATTGTTTGCTTAACGTATTAAAAAAATTCCCAAAAATATTGATCGTATTGGCAAAAAAAATGAAATAAACATTTTTGATGTTTATTACCGATTATTTTTTTAACATAATAAGATTTTTTTTAAAGAATATATAGGTTTTTTGTAGTAAATATAGTTATTTTTAATTTTAGTAAAATAGTATTAGAGTA